CGGCGACGCGGATGCGCTGTCACTTTATGATGACGAGGCGGCGGCCGCAGGCGGGGGCAGCGCCAAGTTTGCGGCCGGCGCCGCCGCGAGGCAGCGCCGCGCCGGCGACCCGCACCATGAACGCGACCGCCGGGTGTCTGGCGGGGGCGCACACGGCCCCGTGCAGCAGTGAGCCGCCGCGTCTATTGGTTTGACTTTGACTTTGGCGCGACCTCCGCGGCGTGCCCGCCGCCCTGTGACGCGCCCCGCGTGTCGTGCTCGCGCCAGCACCTCGGCACTGGCGGCGCCCGATTCGTTTCAGCATGCGCCGGCTCTGACACCTCGACCCCTTGCTGCCTCTTCACACAATAAGATGTACGTCACACTCCGCCCCGCGAAACTGCAGGGCCTCGCCGTGGCCCGACAACGGCCAGATCTCGCGAGATCTGCTCCAACCCGACAGCGACGCCGCGTCCCACCTGCCGTCCCCCGGCGGCGGCGGTGATGTCATTCGTGCCGGCCCACAGGGCCGCGATGACGCCGCTGGGTTTGTGGAGCCGCTTGGTGTTCCCGAGGTCGCCGCGGCGGCACGCGCCGCGGCCGACGCTGTCGCGGCAGCGGCAGCGGCCGCGCAGGCGGGCGCGGTGGCGCGCACAGGGGTGGGCGAGGAGGCGGCGCGGTCGAGGGCGCTGGCGGCGCAGCTGGCGCTGCTGCAGGTGGGGCGGGTCGCGCGGACGATGGTCGGGATGCAGCTAGGGAGTTGCACTCCAGCAGCCCCCCAAGGAACTCATTGCGCGAGTGCATTCGCACCGCAAATGTCAAATAAAGACCCTATAGAAGTGATGAGGCAGAACGCGAGTCCTGTCCCAGCAGGAGGCTGGCAGATGAAGGGGCACCCGGGAAGGCTGCGGGCGCGGGAGACCCCAGTAACGCCACCACCGGAGCCCGCATGCGCGCAACACTGCCACCAGCCGTGCGCTCCCGGCTGCCTGCACGGCCGCCCGCCCTCGCAGGAGGAGTCCCGGCGGCTGCAGCGGCAGAGCCTGGCGCTGCAGCAGCGGGCGGTGGCCGTCAGCCTGCTGCAGGTGGGAAGAGAGGGGCGGGCGCTTGGGGGTGGGTTGGAGGGCGGCTTTGGGG